ACAATACTTATTATTCATATTATTTATAATAATTTTATGATTAAAAATAAATATGAAACAATATAATAAAATAATATTAATTGTGAAATAAATTGAGAAAATACTTATCAGCAATATATAAAGATGCCAGAACTCATGTTTAAGAGGTGCGAATTGCTATATCAATTGTGGTTGTGTATGTGTGTATGTATATGTGTGTATGCGTACGTGTGTGTGTGTATATGTGTTTGTGTGTTTGTTTGTGTGTGTGTGTGTGTGTGTGTGTATGCGTACGCGTGTGTGTATGTGTGTGTGTTTGTGTGTGTGCATGTACAGAGAAACATTGTTTTGTAATGTGTATTCTGTTTTGTGTTGGGCCGAAGTCATGGCGTTATTGTTGTGTGGTTGTTGTTGTGTGGTTGTTGTGTTGTTGTGGCACTCAGTGTATTGTGTTTCCTCCGACTGACAGATGCATAACAGATAGGATATATGGAAATAAAGAAAGTGAAGAGATAGATCGAGAAAGAGAAAAAGAGAGAGAGAGAGAAATAGAGAAATAAAGAAAGTGAAGGGATAGATCGAGAGAGAGAAAAAGAAAGATAGAGGAAGAGAGAAAGAGGGAGAGAGAGAGAGAGAGAGAGATGAATAGATACATACAAATAAGATGAAATGCGAACGAGATAGTTAAACACATAGAGACAGATAGAGACATACATAGAGACACACGCACACACATATACAAACACACACACACATACAAACATCTAAAAAACATGTCCAAACATAAAGTGGTGTAAATTATGCCGAATGATTCCGCCATACACAACATACACATACATTACTCTCTGTGTCTGTGTCTGTGTGTTTGTTGTACGTAACCAGCAAATGTTTGCCTGTACTGTTTGCCTTCCTCCATTAAAATCAATTGCTAATTCTTCAAATTCTATTTGAAAGTAATAAATAAACTCATCAATTTATTTCAAGGTGCAAATGCGCACACGCGCGCACACGCACACGCACACACACGCTCACACGCCCACACACACACACAAACAAACACAGACAGACAGAAGACGAAGATGATATGTCCGGCTGAGTTTGTTTGTAAACAAGAAGTTTTCTGTTTACTGTAATTAGTGAGAAATAATGATTGGAATAATAATAATAATTATTATTAATAATAATTATTATTATAATTATTATTGTTGTTGTTGTTTGTTTTGTTTCCAGTGGAGTTAATTAAGAGGCCGATTCCGTTAAATACCTTTTGTTGTTTTCCTTTCTTGCAAGGGATTCTTTATTATTGTTATTATTATTCTTTTTATTTACAAACATGCATACATACGCACATGCAGACAGACAGACAGACAGACAGACAGACAGACAGACAGACAGACAGATATTATATAACGCCATATTTTTGTTTAGAGAACTAAGAGTTAATTATGCACAGTGGAGCATAAGTGTCATCCATTCATTCATTCGTTCATTTAAACTTATTCATTCATTCACGCTGCCGACGACGACGATGATGATGATGACGATGATGAAAATGAAGATGGTGATGATAATGATAATAATGACGACGACGATGATGATAGCATATACAAACACCTTCCATTGTCATTGTAATGAGATTTTTTGGTTGTTAGAATGGTCACTCGATTCACACCAGCTTACTAATTATCTAACTAACTTTCATTCGAACTAAAACAACAACAACAACAGCAACAACAACAACAACAACAACAACAACGACAACCGAAGTGATTCTGATATGTTAGACTCGATTATGACGTACGGATGACGACGACGATGATGATGATGATGTTGATGATGACGATGTCAATATCATCGTCATCATCATCGCCATCGTCATAATTATAATAATTATGATTTTATTATAACTCATTGGCACTTGACGCTTGCTTATTAAACAGATACCAATCACTATGTTTATTCATCTGTCTGTTTGTCTGTCTGTCTGTCTGTCTGCCTCTCTCTCTCTCTCTTTCTTTCTCTCTCTGACTCATTCTCTCTTTTTTCATCTATTAGTATAAATATGTATTTTGTATACAATCACAGACATGCACACACACATATATATATAAACTATAAGCTATATATATATATATACAAACTATGTATACATATATATAACAATTATATATATAACATATAGTATAACTATATATACATATACATATATATATACGAAGTCTTCTTATAAAAGCCCTGAAAAATTTTGTTTGATGGTTGTCAGATCACTGTGTTCGTTAACATTGCAGATTGCTATGATAAGTTAATAATTTAGTCAATCAGTTAATTAGTTTATTGATTTAAAGGTTAATTAATTACTTGAATAATTAAATAATTAGTTAATTAATTAATTAATGATAATAATTGTAAAATGAAAAGTTGGGACGATATACAATAGAGTTGGATCCATTCTGAATTGTGAGCCCGACCTTTATTCATGTCTTTTGTAATTAATCTTATTATTATAAATATTTTTATTATTACTATTATTATTGGTAGTAGTAGTAGTAGTAGAAGTTATAGTAGTAGTAGTAGTAGTAGTAGTAGTAGGTAGTAGTAGTAGTAGTAGTAGTAGTAGGTAGTAGTAGGTAGTAGTAGGCAGTAGTAGTAGTAGTAGTAGGTAGTAGTAGGCAGTAGTAGTAGTAGTAGTAGTAGGTAGTAGTAGTAGTAGTAGTAGTGATAGTAATGGCGTTTGTAGTAGTAGTAAAAATATTATTATTATTGTTATAAATTCATTCAGTATATTATCAGCATTCGTTCATATTTCTTAAGCTAAATGGATGTCAATTCTAAAAGCCATCGCGACAGTAGAAGTAGTGGTAAAAGTAGCAGCAGTAGTAGTGGTAATAACAGCAGCTTCACCAGCTGCCGTCGGGCAGAAGTAGTAGCAGCAGTAGTATTAGTAGTGAAGTTAGAAATAAGGTCAATTAGTAATTATTAAAAATACTAATAACTGACGCAGATGTGAAAGTTACTGTACACACACACATCTCACACGCCATGTCTAATCGCGATTTTAAGTAAGCATACAAATTAGCATACATACATACATACATAGATACATAGATACATACATACATACATTCATACACACATACATACATACATGCATGTTTGAACTTTCTCCGTGTTACACTGTTACCTTTCTGCTCGTCCGATTGTAACCTGAATAAAAAGATGCTTGTGTGTGTGTGTGTTCGTTTTGTATGTGCCTATACAATGTTTTGTTGTTAGATTACGTGGTGTATGAGGTTTAATTCTATTTGCATAATTGCGACATGTGCAAATTTATGTATGTGTGAACTTATGTGTGCGTGCGTATATGTGTGTATGTATGTGTGCGTGTGTGTATATGTGTGTGTGTGTGTAGGTATAATTGTGGCAGAATACACATACACAACGTCAATCATAACCCACTCAACTTTGTATATAAGAGTGTTGGGTATTGAATTGCTTTTGTTTAAATACAAGTGTTGTTTGCATTGTTTGATGTTCGCGCACACACACACCCACCCACACACACACTCACACGCGCGCACGCGCGCGTACACACAAACATCCACACGTACAGACGCACATACATAAACAATAAAGGACTCATAAACCAGAGCCGGCTAACCAGTTGCTTTATTGAGTGTGAGATTAAGTTATTCGAATGTTGAAAGTATATATTAATATCATTATTATCTACAAGCACAAAGAACTGTTTTTATTTAATAATTTATCTTTCTTTTTCTCTCTCTTTTTCTCCCTCTCTCTCCCTCCCTCTCTCCCCCTCTCTCTCTCCCTCTCTCTCTCCCTCTCTCTCTCTCCCCTTTCTCTTTTTCTTTCTTTTCTTCATTTTAAATTTTCAATTCTCTCATCTTTTAAATCATCATTTTGTTTCGTTCTGTGATTCTGTAGTTCTTTTTTTGCGTCTCTCTCTTTCTTTCTCTCTCTCTTTTTCTTTCTCTCTCTCTTTTTCTTTCTCTCTCACTCTCTCTCTCTCCGTCGTTTGTGTATAATTTATTCACTCTATCCAGTATTAATGTTATTATTTATGATCGATACAGTTAAATTTATCCTTTACGCTTTTACTTACGGGTGTGTATTTTAACGTTATTTATGATCTTTGGAAATTATTATTATTATTATTGTTGTTGTTGTTGTTGTTATTGAAATTTTAAATAACAATAATAATAACAACAACAATAACAACAACAATAATAATAATAGTCAGATAAAGCTTGGGAGATAGAATCAACAGAAAAATGTATCTACCATCATCACCATCATCGTCATCATCATCAACAACAACATCAACAACAACATTCTTCATAATATCATTATTATTGTTGTTATCACTGAGGCCCTTGAACTCGCAATTTTCATCATCGTCATCATCATCATCATCATTGCTATCATCATCATCATCATCGTCGTCATCATCATCATCACCTGTGACGTTACGTTATTCGCTATTGGAGGAGTCACCAAATGGAACGTTCATCGCTAACATCGCCCAAGATGATGACGTCAAAAAAAAATTAAGGAGCATAAATAATAATAATAATAATAATTATAATAATAAAAACTATAATAATAATATTAATAAATATTTATACAATTTCAATAATAATAATAATTATCATTATTATGACGATAATGACGACGGCGACGATGAAGTCGATATCAGAAGGCTTTACAGTACTAGCGATTATTTTGCAGTTTATAATGGTAATAATAATAAAAATAATAATAATAATAATAATAATAATAACAATAATAATAAAAGAAGGAACAACAACAACAACAACAACAATAACAACAACCAGAAATCCAATAATGGCAATAGGAAAAACAAAAATAACATTAACGACAATAAAAATAACCTACTGTTTCCAGGATTAACGTATATAATAATAGATAATAATAATAATAACAATAATAATAATAATAATAATAATAATAAGAGTAATAATAATAATAATTACTCATCGCGTTTTCACCTCGATCACGTGTCTGGTACACTATCGTCGAATGACGTCATCGATCGTGACGTCATTTGTCCGGGGGAGGTGAGGTGCGAGTTGGATCTAAAAATAGCCACACACCCGCCCGAGTATTTTACCATACTCAATGTCAAGGTTGGCTTAAGTTTGTGTTTGGTTGTTTGTTTGTTTGTATTTGTGTGTTTGTGTATTTGTTTGCTTTACTTGCTTTACTATTTTTACTGCTACATTTTTGTAGTATCTTTTAGTTTTTTCAGACGCAGAAACACACAGACACACATCCCAAAACACACACACACCCACACAGATAAACATCTTAGACATCAACGACAATTCACCGAAATTCCCGCTCCCTACATATCACGTTACCGTACCAGAAGATGCCGCAATCGGCGATCTCTTTCCGCTTCCTCTGGCTACAGACGCCGACAGTCCGGCTAACGGTATATTCGAATACCGACTCATCAACTCAACGACGCATTTTCACTTGAAAACTATCGAAGAAACAGAGATGGGAGTAACAAATCGCTTGCCGTTCTTGATGTTGAAACAAGAACTCGATCGAGAAGTTACAGATCGGTATGTGTTGACACTGGCCTGTTACGATTCCGGCGGTTCGAATGGTCGGCACGTCGGTAACACGAGTATCGTTGTAGACGTCGGTGATGTTAACGATAATAATCCGGTATTCGAAAGTGAGCGATACTCGGTACAAATACCGGAAGACACACCCGAGGGTACCGTGGTCATAAAGGTGAAGGCCGTTGATCTGGATGAGGGACTGAACGGAAGAGTGAGGTTAGTTTCCGGTTAGCTGTGAGCTGATTGGTTAGACAGTTCACTGGTTGATTTTGATTGGTCGGTTGATTAATTTAAATTTTTTCACTAAAATTTTAAACCAAAAAAATGTTTGAAAAAATTCGCAAAGGTCGTTCACGAAAATTGAATAAAAACCTTCCCCCCATTAAGCCATTTGCCAAATAACAAGAAAACTATTTTTTAAATTTTTTCACGTGTGCAAAGACATTATAAAGCGCTTCATAATTTTAAACTGGAATAACTCGTGACGTTTTGAGTGCTTGCACGCCTACCTCCAACTATTACTGCTGCTACAACTGCCACTACAATTGCTACAAATATGTGGTAATGACCGTATCTTTAAAGTTTACAATACATTTTTAATGTACTTGTATTGTATTGTATTTTGTTCTTTGTTTGCATGCTTCTGTATGTTTGTATGTACTGTGAGGCATTGTATTTTGCGTATCGAACTACATAAACAAATACTTCCTTGATAGACGCATTCTAAGCCTAGAAATGTCTCAAATAGCTTGAAATTTTTTTTAAACTGTTTCAAAATATATCAAGATATCACAAAATACCTCAAAATATCACAAAATACGTCAAAATACTCTAAAATATCACAAAATACATCAGAATATTTTAAAGTATCACAAAATATTTCAAAATATCACAAAATACCTCGTCATGAAGGTACAAACTGAGCCCCAAAAGTCAAGAATCATACGGAGATACATGGGCGGTTGATGAAGAGCGGGGGGATGTGGTACTCCTGCAAGCCCTGGAACATTTTCGCAGCCCTAATTACGAAATATACATCATGGCCTATGATAGGTTTGTTGTTTTTTTTCTGAGTTGATTGAGATGGTTGGCTGGTTTTGATTGGTCGGTTGAGTTGTTAGGCTGGTTTTGATTGGTCGGTTGAGTGGTTCGGCTAGTTTTGATTGGTCGAATAAAAATAAATGTAACCCCAGATCTGAAAGTCCATCGCCAGTAATGACCACGTTGTCCATAATCGTCGATGACGTCAACAATAACGCCCCACAGGTACCAATAATACTAAATTCACCCACAATTTTTTAATATATTCAAATCTTATTCCAATAATTTAATTTTTATCAAATTTCAATTAATTTATTCAAAATTTTTCAGGTCACATTCGATTTTTTCACCGACCACAAACGCCTCGAGATTCTCGAGAACCAATCAGCTGGCATCTTTGTAGGTCACGTTTCCGTATCTGACCTAGATTCAGGAACCAATGGCAGAGTAGTATGTCAACTTTTTGGTGACGAATTGACGATGAGAACGCCAAATAATGCTGAAAATAATAATAATCTAGCGCTTGATTATGTAGGAAATAGTTTTAGTAATGGCAATAGCGATGAAGATGATGACTGGTTCGGCAAGCAGGTCATTCTGGAGTTGAGGTCTGCTGTTGTGTTTGACAGGGAAGTTAAAGATCAATACGAATTCATTGTCAGGTTTGTCGAACTCTAAACTTTCTGGTTCTGTCATTTATTACAATATTTACAAATTATCAAATGATGTAATTGAAGTTTACCAATTAAAATATTATTAATAAATTATAGTACATAAAAATAATTGAAAGACTGTCTAAGGAACGAAAGTAAACAAACGTATACCTTTGACCTTTAACTCCTAACTTTTAACCCCTAATTTTTAACCCCGTACAGTTGCCACGACCTGGGTACGCCTAGACTCTCAACCAACCAATCATTCACTCTCTACGTAACCGACGCCAACGACAATGCTCCGATATTCGATCAACTATCGTATGAGGAGGACATCTCTGAATCTGCAGCAGCTGATACTTTCGTCTTGAAAGTTTCAGCCACCGATGTAGATTTTGGTCCCAACGCAGAGATATTTTATTCCATTGTTTCCAATTCAAAGGATTCAGGCAGAACGAATATCGGGTACGACGATGCCAATGATGTCTTCAAACTCGAACCGAGTACCGGTGTCATTACTGTCCGCGAATCTCTGGATAGAGAGAAAGTTGATAACTACCGATTCCAAGTGATGGCTAGCAACGTTCGCTCGACTGCAGGCGATTTTAATTCAGACTTCGGTAATAATAATCGGAAGAAAAACAATAATAACAAAATCAACAACAATAACAACAACAAGAACAACAGCCTGACGTCAAAAGCCTGGGTGACCATCCGAATAACCGATGTAGATGATAACGGTCCAAAATTCGTTTTGAGAAATTTTTCTTTCCAGGTTGAAGAGAACCAGCCGCTACATACACAAATCGGTATCGTCAGAGCCGTCGATAACGATTCTTTAATGTTCGGCTCGTTTAATTACCGACTTCAATCGATGTACAACAACGGAGACGAACCTCCATTTCGGATCGACCAACAAACCGGAGCAATAACAACAAAACGCATCCTAGACAGAGAGGTGAAAGAGTTTTACGAATTAAGAGTCGAAGCGATCAGTCGGACCGGAAACCGACTCAACGATTCGGCGAATGTTTTCATTCGAGTTCTTGATCGAAACGACAACAAACCGATTTTTATTCAGCCAAGTAATCACGAAGAACGAATATTCGTCCCTCTCACTCACCCGCTCGGAGCGGAAGTCACTGCTCTGACGGCTAGCGACGCCGACATTGGCGACAACGCCGATTTAACTTTCGACGTCACTTCCGCCGGAAATGCTTCCGAATATTTTCGGTTGGATCGGAAGTCCGGAAGTATTCAGTTGAGTAGGGCGTTCCAGGTTCAGGATCTGAATAGAAGTTTTTCTCTTGTTGTGAGGGTGAGAGATGGAGGAGGTTATGGAAAGAGTATGGAGAATTTCGCTGTCCTGCATTTTACCGTTGTCGACGCTAATTATCATCGTTAGAATAATCTTGTGTTTGTATGTGTGTGGCGTGTGTGTGTATGTGTTTGTATGTGTGTGTGTGACGTGTGTGTGTGACGTGTGTGTGTTTGCATGTATGTCTGTGGCGTGTGTGTGTGTGCGTGTGTGTTCATTTGTTATTTGTCTAGACAGCAGATGTAAGATTTTTGTAAATCTTTACTTCTAAGTTTTAAAAAATATTTTCCGTGTGTGCGTGTATGTAAGTGTGTGTATGTGTGTATGTGTGTGTGTGTGTGTATGTGTGTGTGTGTGTGTGTGTGTGTGTATGTGTGAGTGTACGTATGTATTTATGAATGTATGCATATATTTATTTATTGAAATTTTTCGTAATAACATTCCCTCACCAATTTTTAACAGTGACACACTCACTTACTCACTTACTCTCTCACTCACTCACTCACTCACTCACTCACTCACTCACTCACTCACTCACTCACTCACTCACTCACTCATTCACTCATTCACTCACTCATTCACTCATTCACTCACTCACTCACTCACTCACTCACTCACTCACTGACCAGCAGTGGCTCTCCATTCATCAGATGGCTTTTTTGGCAAGATGACCGACAACCGAATGATCATCATAACCTCACTCCTCATCCTCCTCATCGTCTTCCTTCTCCTCATTCTATTTTTAGCCATCCTGGTAACGAGAAAGTTCAAAAAACCCAGCGATAAAAATAGCGCAGAGTTCGAGCCGAGTTCGAAAGCGAAACCAGGTAAGAGTAAAAAAACCCTGACGACAAAATTCCTTGGCCTTGGGGAGGGTAAAACCAATTGCGCGGGCGTTGTTGGCGGGAAAAGTTGTGTGGTAAGTGAAGTTGGTGGTGAGTTCGAAGAGAAGCTAGTGATGGGTGGTCGGTGTGTGGACGGCGTGGCTGATGACCGCAACAACGACGACGACGACGACGACGATGATGATGACGTCAAAAAATTCAACAGCGGAACCGCTTCCAGTACTAAGAGCTGTAATAATAAGCACAATAACAACACAAATTATAGTTGTTGTAATAATAATAACGATAATTATAACAATAACAATAATAACAATAATAAAAATAACAAGAACTGCTACTACAATAGCATTAATATTTATAATAAAGGTAACTCAAACGACAACAAGCACAACAAAAATAATAATACTAATAATAATAACAACTACGTGAAAAACGCCAGTAAGAAGTTATCCAAAATACCAGATATCCTGGATTCTGAGATGAACTTGGAGAAAGTTGAGGTATTATTATATTGTTATTATTATAATTATTATTATTGTTATTATTATTATTTGCATTCAGTGCGTATTCTTGTATTTGTACACATGTGTATGTGTACATTATGCGTACACATACATTGTAGCTGTATCTTTGTATGTGCGGGTCTCCCGAATATGAATACACAAATGTTTGTGTGCGTTTGTGTGTTGTATGAAACTAGTTTGTATGAAAAGGTGTGTTCGCGTGTATTTGTTTGTTTGTATGTGTTTGTATGTGTGTGTTTGTATGTGTGTATGTGTTTGTATGTGTGTTTGTGTGTGTGTTTGTATGTAGGTTTATCTACATTTGTTTATTCAAATTTCAAAAAAATCCTCTTCAATGACCCAAGTGTAGATAAAATTTCTTAAGAACATACATGCACACCTACTGACATTTTGGAGAAAATATCTTTCGTCTGTGTGTACATATGTGTATGTGTGTGTGTATCTGTTTGTATGTGTGCGTGTGTATCTTTATGTATCTGTGTGTATGTGTGTATGCTATGCGTATTCATTTTTGATATAAGTAATGGCGTGTAAGCGATTGTTTGTGAAAAATTTTTTTATACAATTGTATATATTTCAATTATTATAGTTATAATAATTATAATACTCATAATTATAATACTCATAATTATAATTATCATTATCATCATCATCGACATCATTATCATAATTACCTCTTATCTTTGCCCCGATACCAACGGTTAAATGCACCGGACAGACACTTTATTAAGAATGTAAACATACAGACATGAAACGCGTGCACGCACATGTGTGTGCTTGTTTGTGTGTTTGTGTGTGTGTGTGTTTATGTGTGTGTTTGTGTGTGTGTGTGTGTTTGTATGTGTGCGTGTGCGTGTGTGTGAGAATGTTCGAACAAGCCCACTTACATTTCTTAATTTTAAATTTTCGCTTGGAAAAAAATCCGCAATAGGACCCTTGTGAGATGCTGATAATGATGAAACTGCTATCGGTGGTGATGATGATGACGATGATGATGATGATCATGACGACGACAACGACGATGATGATGATGATAACAAAATATCATCTTTAGCAGCAGTAAAAACTTACTCCAGCGCGCCAAACGTGAACAATAAAAGATCAAACGGAAGATGAACCCACGGGAACAAACACTACTACTACTACTACTACTACTACTACTACTACTACTACCACTGCTACTACTGCTACTACTACTACTACCGCATTGTAGTAATACTATTGTTAACGCTACTATTAAGAAGATAATTTTGATGACGTCAAAGACGAGAATCTTGCGGCTATTGATGATGATGATGATGACGGCCACTATGACGTAATCATCGGAATAGTTGTCATGGCGACACCTGGAGGCATAAATTTTCAAACGTTTTGTTTTTGGCGATGCATTCTTTTTGTATATTCGAATTTTTAAATATTTCCATCATCATCATCACTATCATCGTCGTCATCATCAAAACCACACTGTCGTCATCATCATCATCACACTCATCATCACAATCAAGACCACATTTTTTGTACTTAACAACACAACGTTAAACAAGATATGAATATACTGCTAGTACACATTTGAACGTATGTATGTATGTATGTATGTATGTATGTATGTATGTATGTTTGTATGTATATATGTATGTATGTATGCATGCATGTATGTATGTATGTATGTATGTATGTATGTATGTATGTATGTATGTATGTATGTATGTATGTATGTATGTATGTATGTATGTATGTATGTATGTATGTATGTATGTATGTATGTATGTATGTA